CGGACGGCCCGCGATCCGCATAGAAATCCTTCCACGAGCGGGTCACCGTACCTTCTTCTGCTCTTCAGGATGTCAGCATGTCACGTTACGCCGACGGTGAGGGATTTCAATGATGCTCCAAACGCATACACGAGACACGATTATTTCACTTCCTCTCTACTCTTGGTCAAATGCTCTAGCAGGCTTATTTCACTTTGTTAGTCTGAGTGATCTCGGATGTCTTCAGAGTACTTTTCTGGTACTTCGAAATTTGTTACTGACTCGCTGATAACTTCGAGCTTTGAAGTGGATCCAAATGAATACTTCAGCGATGAAATTTCTCGATGTCAACCTCGACAAAGCGTGCAAATACTCAACGATGAAATAGGTACCTCGTAGAGAAAAGAATGATGCTCCAAAATTCGTTACTGATCAGCCTTCGTGATTCCAAAATCTTCGTGTAGTCACCGATGAACTGTTCAGCGTACTTCACAGGTGGAAACTAACTGGAGTTGTGAAACTTGCCAACTTCTGAAGATGTAAATAGATATCTCGTGAGTGAAGACGTAATGATACTCCAAATATTGCTGTTAACTTGTCAAAACCGATTTGGAAAGTGGACGTAATTCACGTTATGTGTTATCGACCCTCACTGATTAGAGAATAGAGGTACCGGTAATGATTCCGGGAACCTGCTCAGCGACCTCCCAAGTGCGAAAGCAACCAAAACTTCAACCAAGAACTTGTTATCGATCAGTCAACATAAACCTGTACAATTTCAAAGCAGATGTAACCTTCAACGATTCGAGCGAGTGCTAGTTTAGCATGTCTAACAGGTACGAATGTAACCCGAATGCAACTTCAGTGTGGTTAGCGACGATTCGAACATGTACTTGTTCAATGTAGTTCACAAGCAAAACTGATCCTCATCACTGCACTCTACGACGCAAACACAAAACGAACTCGCACAGGACACTATTCTCCACAAACTGGAAAACCCGTGACGGATGACGAATATCCTGGACAACGTTCGTTAACGGCGCATCGCTAAACGGACATTCCCGATGACACGGATAATTTATGTTTTTCTGCACGGCTCGTTGTCAGTCGGCACAGGGGGTAGGGAAGTAATTGGGTCAGGGGGTTGCGAACCGCACGCAAATCCGTGCCGTGCCGGTGGAGCGTGTGCTCCGAAAATCCCCAGGGGTGCAGGTGGAAGGACCGTGGTCGGTTTTATCGGCGGACGATTACGCTAGACACGATAGTCGTCTACGCGAAACGATAACGATCGAGTCGAGGTGGGCTCTCGTTAATCGGCCGAGAAACGGTATATCCCGGTCGCGTGACGAAAGGGATGCTCGCGGCGAACCGTGCACCCGCGTACGTTCGAGCGTAGACAGAGGTTAGTGGCACCACCGTGTTACTCCCCTCTTCTCGCGCACGACCAGTAGGAAGCGATATCTCGTTTGGCTCGGGCACGCTCGAGGGCAACGCACACACACCCGCGCCGACTGCGGATCAAAGACTGAAGGGCCACGGCGACGCAACGCCCGACACCGAGTGACACTGAACACCCCTACCACTATGTCAACCTCGACAAAGCGTGCAAATACTCAACGATGAAATAGGTACCTCGTAGAGAAAAGAATGATGCTCCAAAATTCGTTACTGATCAGCCTTCGTGATTCCAAAATCTTCGTGTAGTCACCGATGAACTGTTCAGCGTACTTCACAGGTGGAAACTAACTGGAGTTGTGAAACTTGCCAACTTCTGAAGATGTAAATAGATATCTCGTGAGTGAAGACGTAATGATACTCCAAATATTGCTGTTAACTTGTCAAAACCGATTTGGAAAGTGGACGTAATTCACGTTATGTGTTATCGACCCTCACTGATTAGAGAATAGAGGTACCGGTAATGATTCCGGGAACCTGCTCAGCGACCTCCCAAGTGCGAAAGCAACCAAAACTTCAACCAAGAACTTGTTATCGATCAGTCAACATAAACCTGTACAATTTCAAAGCAGATGTAACCTTCAACGATTCGAGCGAGTGCTAGTTTAGCATGTCTAACAGGTACGAATGTAACCCGAATGCAACTTCAGTGTGGTTAGCGACGATTCGAACATGTACTTGTTCAATGTAGTTCACAAGCAAAACTGATCCTCATCACTGCACTCTACGACGCAAACACAAAACGAACTCGCACAGGACACTATTCTCCACAAACTGGAAAACCCGTGACGGATGACGAATATCCTGGACAACGTTCGTTAACGGCGCATCGCTAAACGGACATTCCCGATGACACGGATAATTTATGTTTTTCTGCACGGCTCGTTGTCAGTCGGCACAGGGGGTAGGGAAGTAATTGGGTCAGGGGGTTGCGAACCGCACGCAAATCCGTGCCGTGCCGGTGGAGCGTGTGCTCCGAAAATCCCCAGGGGTGCAGGTGGAAGGACCGTGGTCGGTTTTATCGGCGGACGATTACGCTAGACACGATAGTCGTCTACGCGAAACGATAACGATCGAGTCGAGGTGGGCTCTCGTTAATCGGCCGAGAAACGGTATATCCCGGTCGCGTGACGAAAGGGATGCTCGCGGCGAACCGTGCACCCGCGTACGTTCGAGCGTAGACAGAGGTTAGTGGCACCACCGTGTTACTCCCCTCTTCTCGCGCACGACCAGTAGGAAGCGATATCTCGTTTGGCTCGGGCACGCTCGAGGGCAACGCACACACACCCGCGCCGACTGCGGATCAAAGACTGAAGGGCCACGGCGACGCAACGCCCGACACCGAGTGACACTGAACACCCCTACCACTCGGTACAGTTTCGCGCAAGCGTATCGTTAACCTGGGATATCCCCGCCACCGAGTCTCGACAGGGAATCCCCTTGGAAGAGAACGCCGCCACGCGGGTGGTGCGCTCACTACTCGCTGTCACGGCGTCGCGACCCCGTCGTCCGTCTCGTCGCGACGCTGCTGCATCCCCTTGTTTTGCGACGGATCCACCGGGGTGTCGATATCGAGAAGTTCGTTCGTCGCTTCGGCTGCCACCGCCGCCGCCGCTGCAGCCGCTGCTGGAACTTTCAACGGCGAAGGGGATGGAAAGTTCAAACTTTTTCTTTCCTTTTGGGAATCGACTGATTGGACACCTTTGACGACGTGGAAAGGGAAAGTGGGTAGTTTGCTTACGTTTTTTCATGCCAGTTTGCGCTCGATATTTAAAGTGATTAGTGTCGATGGTGCATTTGAGGTCTTGTGTTTTGTCTCCTAAGAGATCTCATGATTTTTAATTTTATTGTAATTTTATTACGATCTAAGTTACGATGAATAGCTGTTACGAATTTGTATACTAGTAAAATAATTGGAAGGTTGTTTTCGAGTTAACGAAATTAATGAAATTAATATTCGATAAATATAGATTAATGAAATAAATACATGTACGCTAACTTTTCCGTTGAAGCACTTGCTAAACGCTTTCTGTAGACACCCTCTTCTAAACTTTCCCTCTCTATCGTTCGCCCTTGAAAAGATTCACCCGCATAACTCAGCCTCCCCGACACACACATGCACGATGACACTTGGATACTCCTATGTTTCTGCAACCAACACTTTTTCTATTTCCACTCTAAACAGTCTACATAATGAATCTATCAAAAATTTTTATATTTCACAAAAAATTAATGTGAACGTCATTTCAAGGTCCTTGTACTCATCGTGAAAATAATTTAGATGTTCAACTTAAATTGAATACCTAAAAAATTTGTATTCTGTAGCCGACTATCTTTTTCCTCTTTAAATCAATCAATTACGCGAAATACGAATTAACAACAATTTAAATAAAACCAATTTGAACAGTAATAACTGAAAAACACGATGATACTCCAAAACCTTTAATTCCACAAAATCAACAATTTTTTTCTCCCCAACAACCGAGCATATAAACTGCTCGCTAACAGCAATTTAACGTAAAATCGATTTGCGCAGAAAAAACTTGTAGCGAAATTACAAACCGATAAACGAACATCGATGCGAGCGACGGTAGGAAGAAAAAGAAACATTTGATTTTAATCGATTTCGACGGAGAGTCGTCGTACGTGATTAAATCGACTGTCCCGAAAATCCTGCGAGAAAACGAGAGAAAAAGAAACGGCAATCGTCAACGCGCCATCAGCGAGCTATCGCATCGTATCTCCGGCAGTGGATAAAGGAAATTCGTTGAAAACTGGCGAGGCGAATTTCGAGTGGCCGCAACGAGCTTGTACAAAGAGAACTGGAACTTCGTCAGAGTGCCTTAATCATTTACGTGTGTTCTCCGTTTCACGGCAGGAACCGAGCGGTCCTCGTTAAACGCGCGGCCGCTTTACGCGAACGAATTAATTCTCCGCTCGACTCTGCTCCGAGTACAATCGTGCCGAGGAGTTTTCGAAACGTCGTGTCGTGTCTACGAACCTCGGCATAGGTGCACGTACGTGCACGATGGCGTATATGTAATAGAACGCCTTTTATACAGGATGCACGAACACGCACGCGCGGCCCCGTCTCTCAGATTATAGTTATACTGCCACTGATGAAGCATCAGCAGCGGAAAATTCTTCGAGTTAGCAATATTAGACGAAAAATTCTTCTCTGTATCCCAGGGAGCAGTAATACTCTGTGTGAAATCGTACGGGAAAGAAAATTAGCTCGGTCAGCGATATAGTTCGTGAAAGTATGGAACGTGACGATACACAGCGCGTTGATACGCGACGTGACAATACATAGCTTTGCTAGAACGTACCAATATAACTTACACTCAAATGTGATGAATCAGAATTTAAACGCTATTAAATTTGAATTTTGAGTCGATTAAAAATTGGTTCTAGAATGTAATAAGTCTCAGTTGGTAGATTTGAACCGAGTTTCAATTATTCGAAACGTTCCACGTGAAAACGTGTATGCCACGTAAGCGGGCAGACGACATGTAAACAGCGTCACTTGCTACCGTCTGG